AMWSRAYACMWTWMYTTTATTTTTATGTGGTGCYGAGGATCAAACCTGGTGCCTTCCTCATGAGAGGCAAGCACTTTACTACTGAGCTACAACCCCAGCCCATCAATACAATTCTTAATGATTTCAAAACAGTTCAATCATTTTATTCAGTAATTTCAACTCCACATTTATCTGCTCATAATCTGCTTCTCCTCCCACAAAATACTTGATGTGTAAAATAAAGATTTTCCTACTCCTGATACAAAAAATTAACAATAACCTTTTGTCCAGTAAATTAACTGTTGCATAATTCAGCCACCTCAAAAACTTCCTCAAAAAGAGATGCTTAAAGAAATGTACCATGATGAAAGAAGAGCTACAATAATTTAACAAGACAAATTCTATTATACTATTTCACTGCTATTGCTACCGCCCATTAGATGGTGTTCAATTTCTCTTATTCAATAACTGACAATCTTGAAAAGTCAATGTAGTAGTTTCCTTGGACTGTAACTGGAAGGGAGCCTGCGGAGGATTTCTGGGATGCTGATAATCCTGATGGATGCTGGTTACACTGGTGTGTTCTACTTGTAAAAATTCTTCAAGCTCTAGATTTATGATGTATACTTTTCTATATACATGTAGTAGTCCAATGAAATTTTTTTAAAAAACCATCAAAGCATGCCAGAACTGTTAGCTATCCTCAAGTCTCCTCCCCATGTCAAAACAATTTTCTGTGCTAACACTTCTCTGCAAAAAATGCAATTCAAGTTAAAGCACTTAATATTTCCTACCAGAATATGCCCAGATAACTGATAACTTTCATTTGCAACTGGGAGTTCACACACAGAATAGGAAAAGTGAATAGGTACTGTAAATGTCCAGCCCATGATGTGAATTATTTTCAACTTTGYTAAACTGATTTAGGAAAGAAAGGACCATCACTTCAGACTTTAGTTAGGAGGCGGCTGGAAAGTACTTCATGGGAAGAGGACTAGGAGCCACCTGTCAGTGTTTAGTGTTTATATACCAAGCAAATCAAAAACAGGAGAAAAAAGTACCTGTCCAGAGACATGAATGAAATAGAATTCATGAAAGCAGGATGCTAAGATTTAATACGACACATGTAATGATTGGCAAGAATGCTTGGGAACTAACCTTTTCTCATTCACTTGCCGTAGCCCAGGAAATAAAAATGATGCCTGCAATTCCACAACTATAACTCAATTCTCTTTCTTCCTCTAATCTTATGACCTCCCCAAAGTTAAATCTCATCATGAAAATCCTCTCGCGGTGAAAGCAGTGCAGTGTAATTAAAAAGGATCTTGATCCTCACCTAAAACACACTTTTACCTTTCACCTACAAAGCCAAGAGAGGGAACTTTGTCCGACAAATACCACGAAACTAATTCAGTTTTTCCAGATGAAATGTCAGGGCGTTCATTGAGCAATTCCAAAGGGGTGGTGTGGGGCACTTTAGAAGAAAACCATGCCAAGTGGCCCCAGGATAGCTCACAGGAATCACCCTGGCGACTATGACAGCAATTACTCCGGAATCGAGCCAAACCTCATCCAAGTGACTTAGACAACAGCGACTATCCTGGCGAGTCCAATCCCCATCCTCAAATCACACAACCACGTCCATAAAACAAATCCTTCACGGTCTGTCTGGAAATGAGATGACAAAACTAAAACACCGCCAGAAAGTTGATACAGAAATGAGACGGTTTGGATAAGGGATGGGCACACTGCTTCCCCTCCTCCCACCCTCGAGTAGGAGCGACTGTCCTCCAGGCTGGGTCGCAGATTTGTTTGTGGGCGCAGGAGAAAATTCTCACTCTTGCGGGTACAGCGAGGTGGCCCGACAGGCCGGCGGGGTACGCGGAAAGCCGGGGAGCCGGCGCTGCGGGGACACCCTGACATTGGAGCCTGGCTGTAGCCGCGGCCGCCCTCTCTCCGCCTGATCCTGCCGGCACCGGGACTCGTCTGCCAGGCGCTGGGCGGAGAGTGCACGCSGGGAGCGCCAGCTCGGGCCCGGGAAGGCGGCGCGGCCACGAGCCTTACCCGTGCAGGCCGAGGGCGCGGCGCCGCTTGTGGAGCAGGCAGAGCAGCAGGAATGCGGCCCCCGCCAGCGAGGAGTTCCGCGCCGTCAAGTACTTGCTGAAGGCCGCCATGGCACCACCAGGGCGGGCGAGCCGGCGAAGGGGACTCGGCGGCAACTACCTTAGTGCAGGAAGCGCGGGGGAGACTGGGAGGAGAGGACCGCGAGGAGGGAGGGCGGTGCCGGCCACGCAGGACCGCCCCCTGGAGCGCGCCGCCGCGCCGCCCGAGCGCCAAGCCCACCGCGAACTTCGGCTCGGCGGGAGCGCGCGCGGGAGCTGGGAGTCCGGAACGGTCCCGGGACGCGCCTTGCGCAGGCGCGGACCCCCACGGGGTTGCCGGAAACGCGGCGCTGGGACGTAGGCGATCTTCCCTCTGCCTCTCCTCACCCGGCAAGGTCCYGTTGCTACCCCCGCTTCAGCCCTACCCTCTCGGTGCGCTTACACCCGGCTTTCACAAGAACTGGAAGAGCGGGCCCGGCCTGCGCGGAGGACTCAGTGGGCCCTGCCTTCCGCCACCCCCCACCGTAATGGGTCGTTACCACCCTCTTAAAGGAGCTCAGGAAGAAGGGAGCGGCCCCTTTTACACAAAACTGGTGGCTTTATGATCACTGGGACTTACACAAAGCAGGCAGGGACTGTGGGAAGAACTCCTTTTTCCAGTGAGGGTTTTCCAAACCGTAACCTCTAGGGGCCGGTGAAATCGGTTTGGAAAAACAGGACCGCCACTTTGGTTTTTTTGTTTGGTTGGTTGGGTTTTTTTTKGGGGGGGGCGGGGTGCAGTTTTGGATTTTTTTTTTTTTTCGAGAACAACACAACGAAAATCTCAGAATACATCACTTAGTAAAGGAGTTGCTTTGAGAAGTTTTTATTCCAGTTTTTTGTAGATATATATCGCGGGTGGAGACATAAAATGTGTTTCTTTGTGTGGGTCTTGTCAAACAAAAAGTTTGATAATCTCCGTTCTTTGCAAAGCAACATTCATAAATAACAATCGTGCGTTGTATTAATGCTGGCCTTACTCCCAGAATCAGGAAGGGTTTACAGATTACAGCATTCTTATGCTGTCCGACTTCTATGATGCAGAATTGTTGTCCCTAACATTTAGCCTAACACATACACAATAATTTAAGGAGTCACAGTTTTCAGTTGAGACTGGAGAAAAGCAAGTGTCAGAAAAGTAAGATCATAAATTCTCACATAATATATACACGTATTAAAGGCTTCTACATGTTAGAAGTAGTCTACAAAACAGTGGTGCCTTAGGTGTTTTCTCAATATAAATTGGCAATTGCCTAATACATATTCCAAGAATCATAAAGACCTGATACAGTAATGWTTGGCTTGTGTAGGGTGTTCAACAGCCAATTCTAAGTTATGTAAAAGTGAAGCTCCTACTAAATTCTCCAGCTGCCATGTGGACATTTTCATTATCTTGTGTAAGCCTGGCGTAATTAGTATGCCTGGCACAGGAAATACAAGGATGAACAGATAATCCCTATTCTCTAGAGGCTGGTAGAGAGAAAACACATGAAAAAGAAATTATACATATGGTAAGCGCCACATTGGAGTTTTAAACAAGGCACCATGAGAACTCAAGCAAGAAAATGCTTAGTTTTGCCCAGAGCTTTCAATTAAGGTTTGACAAAGAAGATGATTTTGTAGCAGAATCCTAAAGCACCAAAGGAGTCAGTAGGATAAAGGGAAAATTACAAAATTCACTAATGAATTACAGGGTGATATAAAAGAGTTGGGAACTTTGGGGGGAAAGTGATGATATCATCTTGGAGTTTATAAGAAAGAAGAAAATATGTGTAAGTCAAAAGCATAATCTATCAAATAAATAGATTCCAAAACATTCAGAGGAAAGATAGAAATTACCCACTGATGAAAAATTCTTAAAATACCCTTGTTCAAGAAGCCTGGCAAATTCTAAAAATTAAAACAGTTATATAAGATTCAATAATTTTAGTTCATGATAAAGACCACTGGGTGTGTAGGGCCAAACTTATAACCCAGCAAAGTTAATTTTATTAATTTGTTTCAACAAGGACACCGCACACCAAGAGAATGAGGCATGTCTCCAAAAAACAAGATGGGATGAGGAATCATTATATTTAGGGGAAGAGAGGAATGTAGGCACAATTTAAATTGAGCAGTGTTTGGTAAGCTCAAAGCAAATCAGATCTATATGTAATATTAAACCTAAGTTGAGAAGCAGACTCAAATTTCTATTCCCTTGGAAACATAAATTTAAAATTAATGTAGAATATTGTGTCTCCAACTTTTTATCTGAACTGCTGCCCTATAAATTGAGGCCACTTCTTAAAATCAAAGTGATTCAGATAATTGAGATCCTCCAATCGAGAAAGGGATGTTCTGTTCTCACTGATAAAATCTCAGAACAAGTAAGTTTCTAACAGTCTAGGGTCTTAGAGAATAAGGTTCCTCGACACTGTGTCCTTTGATAATTAAAATCAGAACAGTTTTTTCAGGTTCACACTTTATAAAACAAAATAATTAAGAAAAAGAGAAAATATGATTTTCTTAAGGAATCTCCAGAAGCTCTGATTTTTAAAACATTGAGCTATTGAGAATAGGGAAGAGCAGGGTATATGGATTTAGGGACTCCAGAAATCCTCTTGTGGAAATGTATTGGCCAGCCTCCAAGACCATTACCTCTTTATACCCATGCCCTTGTATAATCTCCTTATCAGAACTAGTTCAAAGAACAAGATGGTGATATCTGGCTTTTATTATTATTATTTCTTTTTTTAAGACAGGGTCTCCCTAAATTGCCCTGGCTGGTCTGGTGATTGCCATCCTCCTGTCTCAGCAGTCCAAGTAGCTACGATTACAGGTATCAGCTACCACACCCTATTGATAATATGTGACTTCTGAGACCAAATCATAAAAGGCATGTTGTTTCCAGCTTAGTCTCTTGGATTGCTTACTCTTGGGGGAGCTGCTGCCACAGAAAACACTCAAAGTAAACTTAGAGAAGGATTGGGGCCTCCTACCCAGAAGAAGCACCAGCTTGCCAGCCATATGAGTAAGCCACTTGAGGAGCATATCTCCATCCCCAGCCAAACCTTCAGATAACTACAATCTCATGAGTGATCCCAAGCCACACAAATACTACTAAATTCCAGACTGTAGGAGATAATAAATGTTTATTGTGTTAATTCATTAAGTTTGTGAGTAATTTTTTATGCATCTGGTGTAATTTGGGCAAGCCTTAAACATGGAAGAAAGGAGGTTTCAGAGAAGATACAAAGGGAACAAAGATACAGAGACAACAACGCACATAACAGATTGGGAAAAAGGACTAAGTTTGGTATTGACAGAGGTTCAGGAAGGGGTGTGAAATGATGAAAAATAAGGTTGAAATTTTTAATTGAGATCAACTCATGAAGAATCCAAAACAACATGTTGATCAGATGGGATATTATTCTGCACATAAGGGGAAGTATTCCATGCAGTATATGCAGGTTTGGGAGAAAGGTAGTAATCACAGCTTTTATTTAAGGATAATCATGCTGTTGGCAGCATGAAGGATAGACTAAAGGAGGAAACATTAAGCAGAGATACTGGTTTGTATACTCTTGAAATGGTCTAGATGTAGTGGTCTGGATATAAGTTTCCCCTGCCCCCCACCAAAAGCTCCTGTGTTAATTCAGGAATATTCAGAGGTGCAATGATCTTATTATATATAAGAGCTATAACCTAATCAGTCCATCCTAGTTTGAACGGACTGACTAGGTGGATACTGGCAGGTAAGGCATGGCTGAAGGAGGTAGACTGAGGGATCTGCCCTGGAAGTGTTCATCTTTCCTGCAGCTCACTCGCATTCTCTGTCTCTCTCTGCTTCTTGACTGCCGTGAAGTTTCCACCATACCCTTCGACCACAATGTTCTACCTCACCTTGGGCCTAGAGCACTGGAGTGGGCTAACTATAGACTGAGCCTCCAAAACTAAACATCTGAAACCATGAGCCAAAATATACTTTTCCTCCTCTAAATTGCTTTTGTTAGATATTTTGGCCACAACTACCAAAAGCTGAGTAACATACTACATAAAAGATAGTAAGCAGGGATGGATATCTGTCTCAGTTGATAGAGTGTTTGCCTTGCATGTACAAGGCCCTAAGTTCAATCTCCAGCACCATTAAAAAAAAAAATAGTAAACAACTGAGAGCAACACAAGGTAAATAGAGAGAAAAGGACTTTGTGGATCCAAATTGATGGAGATATATGAGATTGTTAATAAGAAGAAAAGTTTTAAATCAGCCTGATAGTTCTTGGCTGGTAAAATAATAAGATGCAAATGAATATGTTCCTTACTGCTTTCTCATCACCAGGATAAACTTTAAGATCCTTAGCATCTCACAAAAAGCCAGTTATGATACAAGTTCTACCAACCTCTCCCATCTTGGCACTCCTCTCCTCCAAAAGATACATTCTACCCCTATCCCAGGAGATAAATGCCCACTACTAGTAAGTCCTGTGGTCTTCCCTTGAATATGCTATTCTGTCTGCCTGGAATACTGATCCTATCCTACCTTTATTTTCTCAATTCCAATTCAGTTCATCCTTTGAAATGAAACCTTGATGATCTCCCACTCCAAGCAGTCTTCTCCATAGCTCCTGCCAAGTTAATCACTCCCTCCTTTTTACTACTTCTGTTTCTTATATAATCCTATTAATATATAGTAGGGTATCTGGAGATGCAGATCTTTAAACATTTTTTAAAGAGAAACTACAAGTCATTTCTCTGGCAAGGTAAACACATCATATCACTGGAAACAAATAATCTTTGCTTAGAAAAGAGTCCCATGAGAAGCCCCTCTTGCCGATACAAATGGAAGAAGAGAAGAGTTAGAGATTGCATTAGAGGAAGTATATAACAGGATATCTTGACAAAACTGTTCCTCCAAATAGCCCTAGTCAGCTCAACATGGTACTGGGAAAGTTTGCACAGGGGATCTATCTCTCCTGAGAAGAAAGATATTGAGACCTCCATCTTTTCCCTTTTGAGTTTCAACATTGTTTTAAAAAAATCCTTCAGATAGACTGGAATAGTTCTGTCTCATTCCCAAAGAGGAACTCTTAAGGAGGGATGTGAAGTCTGGGATACCACAGAAACTTCCTAGCCTACTAGCCAAAGGAAGCACTAGTTCCTGAAGAG